TTTGGTTTTATAAAATAATTTAAATATATATATATATAATATATATATATATATATATATATATTATATATATATATATATATATATATATATATATTATATTAAAATTTTATGTTTAACATTCTTTTTGGATACAAGTATTTAGTTTAGGATATTAAATAACATTTACCGGCCTGAATGTCCGTTTTCAATATTCGTCCTTTACAGGATTCGAACGTCAATAAATGACGGTTCCGTTTAGAATCTTCGAATCCTGTCATTCGAATTTTAATTGAATGTTATTTAATCCATAAACAAAAATTTTAAATATCAGAATTTATTTCTTTTCCATTTCTTAATATATATATATATATATATATATATATATATATATATATAAAAAAAATTAGATATATGTAAAGTTATTTTTTTTTGTTACAAACGAACTTTCCTGCTTTAAATTTTGGAATGCGTCTTTGGCCATCCCAATAAATCAGACACGAGCGTCGCACTTACCCTTTCTCTGTCAAAACAAATACCCAGATATTTAAATTTGCGCACCTGTGTGTCCCCTAAAAGTCCGTATTTTGGCGATTTTTTTTATTTGTTGTGAATTAGACATAACTTTGGTTCTTCTTATGTTTTATTCTGCCAACCAAAGGCGTGGCGCAGCTCAGGGTGGAGGGAAAAATGAGCAGCACCGTAATCATATGCTAAAGAAGCCGGACAATCCAGACGATCGACACTTTTAAAATACAATCGAGACACCGGAAAGACAAAAAGAATTTCAAACGACGCTCGGTAAATTTTTTGATAAAAAAAATCATCCCATTGTACGTTCATCATGGTGCATAGCCCAGAAAGTCCGTACTCTTAATTGAATCAGAATTATTCTTCTTAAGGTTGAAATAAAAATATATATATACATTTTAATAACCCCCCACACACACCGATACATTTCTTCTTCTTCGTCCACAAATTAAAATAATTACTTTTGAAAATAATAATAAAGCGTTCAGAGGTCATTTGATAAAAAATCGCCTGAGGAGGCATAAGGTTGAAACCAAGGTAGCAAATTCAACTGACCTCCTGATTTTTAATCTCTATCTATAAAAGGCAGGATGTGTGTGTGTGTGTGTGTGTGTGTGTGTGTGTGTGTGTGTGTGTGTGTGTGTGTGTGTGTGTAACGAATGCACGGCCGCAATTTTCGACGATTTGCACCAAAATTTACATGCACATGCTCCAAGGTAGCTGGAAGGTCAAGACCGACGTTGCATTTCCCAACTTCCATCGATAGTGGAAATAATCGATTTTTTCAGGCTTCTACGTTTGCGGCCTTTCCAACTGTTCAGAATGAGAGCCTATAGCTGGCCGCCACGAATAGGCAGGAAGATTCTATTGGCCAGCATGAAAGCCAACAGCTGACTGGCACGAATGCTACATTCGTCTCAAGTGGGAAAAATTAAAATCTGCACGACACTTTACTCCAATTGGCTCATTCGCTTGCTTAAACTCAACGTTGATTCTGATTCCGCAGAACTGGGTTGGGTATGAAAAAGTATTTGTTGTTAACATTCTTTTTTCATTCGGTTTGTCCAGTTATGAGTCCTTTTTTTAAAGCTGATCGTTTTGTGTTCATTTTGTTTAGTTTTTTTTTTCGTAACAGATTTAATGTTTAGTATAGAGCTTAGAAAAAATTCGCAGTGTGAGATAGACAAGAAGTAAGGCATGTAGCAACATCATCACGGCAAAGGGCACTCCTTTAAAGGCAATGACGGGCAAAAATATTTTAAGTCAAGTGATAGCGATTGCTGTATGAGTGGTACGATTTTTTTGAATCAAGCATTTTCCAAAAAATGTATATGAACTGCTATATATATATATATATATATATATATATATATATATATATATATATCCCTATATATATATATTTCCCTCTCTGATTTTCATTATCCCTTTAACTCAAAAACTCAAATTTTTAGTTCGCCACCGCTTTGGCCAGGTATTAAACTCACTTTTGGGGTCAAGTTACTGGATCTAAACAGTGCTTTTATCCACTGGGCCGTGTGTCCATGAGGATATAAGTGTATGAATTTTGGGGACTTATAAATTTAATGTCTCAGTAACCATTTTTTACCAGTGCTCATATTGCAATTTTGTTGTTAATATTGCTTTTATCTAGTATTTATTTCGCCCTATTGCTGATTGCCAGATTGTATTCATTTCTATTCTTGGCCGGCTCAGGAGATTTTTGTGGCATAACATATGTGCTGATTCCTTAAGTTTTCCTATTTTTCAGTGATGCTCTCTGTCTATTATTTCAGTCTCTTCTCACAGCTTTGCGATGATCTCCCTTTTCCCGCCATATGTAGTCAATCTGCAGGAACTAGTAATACACAGTGTTAGTGAATAGTAATAACAACATCATTTGCATAGCCAACCCACTCCCCAGGTCACCGTCCCGGTTATTTGCATGGGGAAGCTGGTAGATACTTTCTTCGTAACCAGACGTTCCGGGGTTCGCACAGGCCAGGACTGTTCTGCCAAACAGAAACATCTGCCTTCTGTCTACAGATCGTTTGCAGTCATTAAGATTGGCCACTTTGATCGTTTGCCACTGTTGTTATATTGGTTGTCTTTTTTTTGTTTTGTTTTTTCGAGATTTCCTTGCTTGAACTGCTACAAAATCTTATATTGGTTGTATTTTAGATTTTTTTTGTTATTTTCATTATTCGACAAAGGATCTTTGTTGAACTGCTATTACAACATTTCGGCCTTTCAGTATCTGTCTATATTTCTGAGATGAGGTATTATGTACACTATTTACATTATTCGAACTATTGTCCTCGTCTTTGTCGCCATATTTATTATGAACGTTTCGGCCGTTGTACGCTCCGGCCTCTTCAGTATTTTTCTATTTCTGAGATGAGGTATTCAGTATATTTATATTATTCGGACTATTGCCTTCATCTTTGTTGATTTATTACAACGTTTCGGCCCTTCAGTATCTGTCTATATTTCTGAGATTTATTATGTATTATTCGAACTATTGTCCTCATCTTTGTTGCCATATTTATTACAAAAGGCCGTTGTACGCTCCGGCCTTTTCAGTATCTGTCTATATTTCTGAGATGAGGTATTATGTATTGTCCTATCTTTTTACCATTTATTAGGACTATTGTATCTGTCTATATTTCTGAGATGAGGTATTATGTACACAATTTACATTATTAGGACTATTGTCCTCATCTTTATTTATTACAACGTTTTGGCCTTTCAGTATCTATCTATATTTCTGAGATGAGGTATTATGTACACTATTTACATTATTCGGACTATTGTCTTCATCTTTGTCGCCATATTTATTACAACGTTTCGGCCGTTTTCAGCTGTCATGAAGTGGAAAGTAAATATTGAATCAATTGTTAAGTCTGCAGTTAAGAAAGTTGGTTCCCTGTGTTGCACTAGACAATCCTTCTCTCCAGAATCTACCTTACATATTTATTTATAAGTCTACCATTCTTTCTTGCTTTGAATATTGCCGCCACATCTGGCCTGGTGCAAAATCTATTGTTAAACGGGGCAAGAAAAGGCTTGTTAATTTTAACGCCTCGGAAACGAAACTTCTGTCTTGATTCGTCTGATAGAACCCCCTTTTTACCTTCGATCAGCAAAGCTTCTGTAATTCTCCGAGAGAGAGTCTCATTGCACCTTCTCGGCATAAATTTTCCACCAAACATGAAATGGAAAGAGTCTATTGAATCAATTGCTAAGTTCCGCAGCTAAAAAGTTGGTTCCCTGTGTTGCGCGACATAATCTTTCTCTCCAGAATTTACCTTATATATTTATAAGTCTACCTTTCGTCCTTGCTTTGAATATTGCTGCTACATCTGGTCTGGTGCAAAATTTATTTCTAAACGGGACAATGTTAATTTTAACGCCTCCAAAAAGAAAATGCTGTCTGATAAAACCCCCTTTTTGCTTTTGATCAGCATAGCTGTTGTAATTTACCTATAGTGTGACCCATTGCGCCTTCTAAGACTAACGATTTCACCTAACATGAAATAGAAAGAGCCTATTGAATCAGTTGCTAAGTCTTGCAGCTAAGAAAGTTGGTTTCCTGTGTTGCGCAAGACAATCTTTCTCTCCAGAATCTACCTTCTATATTGATAAGTCTAAAATTCGTTCTTGCTTTGAATATTGCTGCCACATATGGTTTGGTGCTCCTGCTATACGTCTAGTAATTCTTGATAAAATTCAAAGGATAATCTGCAATGTTATTGGTCTTGATCTGGCATGCCGGTTCAGTGACTTTCCCATCGCCATAATGTAGCTTCCCTGTGCCTTTTCTATAAATATTTTCATGGTCATTGTTCTGGGGAAACTTTCTCTATAGTACCTAGACCTGATGAAGTTAAGCACTCGTTTTCGGTCCATTGTGTTTTCGGTAATAGCTGACAAAAAGCTAAACAGGACAATTTCGTTAGAACTGCTATGTACTACCAATAATCCTATGGGACCGTGAATCCCGGACATTTTCCTTATAGATGAAGAAGATACTCGAAGTAACTGAGATATTGTTCTACAGAAGGATGATGAGGATAGCATGGACGGAGCATTTGAGCAACGAGGAAGTTTTAGGGACTGCGAAAACAAAAAGGACACTTATGCTTAGCTCTGGGATACCAGATGAGGAAAGATGGCTTGGAGAATTTTACACTTATATGGCATAAAGAACCTAAGAAAAACATTGAGTAATCTCCCTAATTGAGTCTTTTTTTACGGTTTATCAACCCACCGTTTGTTATTTAAAACCAGAAAATGTTTTAAAAAAAAACAATACTGATTTAATGATACTCGTCTTACTAATTAACCCATAGCTTGGGGGGAGAAGAGGTGAATTCGTACCTTTCCCAAAGGCTATTTGCGTGTAAATGAATATAGCCAAACACAACTAGAATTAGAACTCGGGTCTCCGATTAACAATAACGAACCATTGCACCACCCGCACATCCAAGCTTACAGCACTTGGTTTTCCCAAGCGGTCACCTATCTAGGTACCGGCCAGGCTCGACGTTGCTTAACTTCAGTGATCGTACGGGAAGCAGTCTTTTGAACGCGATGTGACCGTAATCCTAACGAGTTTGTGCAAGTGGATGTCAGAACATGGACTGATGGCGAAGAGTAAGGGGATAGACGTTGCTAGGAGCTACGAACGATGGGAAGCTATGGAGAGCCATGATCACCGACGCTCTGAACGAATACGGTACGTAAAGAAGAAGGAAAAAAACTCCCTAAATATTGTTGACTGGGAACGGCGAAGAGCTAAAATAGCGTAAATTGGAAGATCTTTCCACTGTCTTCATTCGCTGGTTATATTGCAAAACTCATAGATAGATAGATAGATAGATAGATATGAATAGACAGGGACAAATAGATGTAAATAGACAAGGATAGATAGATAGATAGATAGATAGATAGATAGATAGATAGATAGATAGATAGATAGATATGAATAGACAGGGACAGATAGATAGATATGAATAGACAAGGATAGATAGATAGATAGATAGATAGATAGATAGATAGATAGATAGATAGATATGAATAGACAGGGAGAGATAGATAGATATGAATATACAAGGATAGATAGATAGATAGATATAAATAGACAGGAGATAGATAGATAGATAGATAGATAGATAGATAGATAGATAGATAGATAGATAGATATGAGCAGACTGACATAATTAGATAGATAGATAGATATGAATATACAAGGATAGATAGATAGAGAGATAGATAGATAGATAGATAGATAGATAGATAGATAGATAGATAGATAGATAGATAGATAGATAGATAGATAGATAGATAGATAGATAGATAGATAGATAGATAGATAGAAGATAGATAGGGATAAATAGATATGAATAGACAAGGATAGATAGATAGATATGATAAATAGGGACATAGATAGATAGATAGATAGATAGATATAAATAGACAGGGATAGATAGATAGATAGATAGATAGATAGATAGATAGATATGATAGAATGACATAATTAGATGATAGATAGATTAGATAGATAGATAGATAGATAAAAATAGACAGGATAGATAGATATAAATAGATAGATAGATAGATAGATAGATAGATAGATAGATAGATAGATAGATAGATATGAGCAGACTGACATAATTAGATAGATAGATAGATAGATAGATAGATAGATAGATAGATAGATAGATATGAATAGACAGGGAGAAATAAATAGACATAGATATATATCAGATAGATAGATAGATAGATATAAATAGGGACATAGATAGATAGATAGATAGATATCCAATAGACATAGATAGATAGATAGATAGATAGATAGATAGATAGATAGATAGATAGATAGATGAATAGAAATAGATAGATAGATAGATAGATAGATAGATAGATAGATAGATAGATAGATAGATAGATAGAATGAGATAGATAGATGAGATGTGAATAGATAGATAGATGATATATAATAGATGGATAGATAGATAGATAGATAGATAGATAGATAGATAGATAGATAGATAGATAGATATGAGCAGACTGACATAATTAGACAGATAGATAGATAGATAGATAGATAGATAGATAGATAGATAGATGGGAGCGGGTGAGCTTATTCGGGTATCGATTTCTTGGTTTCAAACAACAGCTTCTCATCAAACCTACCCAACACAAATTCCCCGCCTATCACAGATCTATTTACAGATATTTCTTTTTTTTCTTTTTTTGTCTAAAAAAAAGGGGGGAAGAAACATACCACAAGGTCTGTGTTTAAATGACACGTCAGCATTTAGATTTTAAAACTAATGCCACCATTTCATTGAGTGATGTTTATTTATTTATTTATTGGTGATATGCGGACCCGTGGGAAAGTAAGCATACACAATGCACAGCGTGGAAATATATTTAGTTTGATAGGACTGGATAGCTTATTTAACAATCAACACTCGATATAATTTGCACCATTTTGTTAATAGTTTCATTATCCCAACTGGTCTAAAAACCTGTTTTATACAGTTGGAGAACTTAATTATCAAACAGAACTCGTTTTTTTTTTTTAAATAAAGGCCCTCTATTTTGTTGTTTCAAAATTTTATCCGGTATAAAACTTGTTTTATGAGGTTGGCGACCTTAATTATCAAACAGAACTCGTCGTTTTCAAGAAAAAATAACAGTCCTCCATTTTGTTTTTAAAAAAATAACAGTCCTCCATTTTGTTTTTATTCAAAAATTTATCCGGTTTTAAACATTATAGGGTTGGTGACCTTAGTTATCAAACAGAAACTGTCGTACATTATTCACATTATTCGGACGATTGTCCTCATCTTTGTTGCCATATTTATCACAACGTTTCGGTTGTTGTACGCTCCGGCCTTCTTCAGTGGTCGAAATGAACCCTTTATTTCGCTCACTGGGGTAGACTGTTCTAGTTCCACGTTTTAATGGACGTCAGTTACCAGTTATCTATTAATTTCCCGCTGAAAGTTCTCCACTGCCTTAACCGGGTATTGAACTCACACTCATTGGGTCCTGTCAGTGGATCTAACCAACGCCTTTATCCACTGTGCCATGGCATTAATATTTAGCAAACCAATCGATGAAATTTGTATAAGCTGATTTGTTTGGAAAAATACTTGGGAGATTAATAATTTTTTTTAAAAATTTAATTCAATTTTATAGGACTTCATTGTAAACAAATGTTTTTAAAAAACTCACTTTTTTTCCCCTTTTTAACGCCAAAGAATAAATTCTTGATATTTCTTACTCTTGAGCATGCAACATACAGTTGGCCGTGCGTAAACATTTCTTTGTGGAACCAAATTGTAAATTTTGAAACATTTGGCCTTTTTGATTTGTTTTACTTCTCGCAAACGCGGGGAGAACCGGTAACTGGATACTTGTATATATAAAAACTTAAATAAAACATATGTAAAAATCAATATCGCATTTTTATTTTCATCATTCGGACTATAGTCCTCATCTTTGTCGCCATATCTATTACAACGTTTCGGCCGTTGTACGCTCCAACCTTCTTCAGGTGGTTGGAACGTCGAACTTAACCCTTTATTTCTCTCACTTTGGTAGACAGTTCCTGTTCCACGTGCCATGTTTGATGGATGTCAGTTATCAGTTATCTCCTGTTAATTCCCCTCTGAAAGTCCTCCACCGCCTTAACCGGGTATTGACCTCACACTCTCTGGATCTAACCAACGTCTTTATCCACTGTGATATGTCTCCTCCAGGACATCTGGGCATGAATTTCTAGGTATTATAAGCCTAATGTCTTCACCAACCATTTTACCAGTGCTCATATTGCAATTTTTGCTGCTATCATTTCATGTTTTTACCAGAGCTCATATTGCAACTTTGTTGTTATTATCGCTTTGTTTCTTGTCTATGATCTCAACTTGAAACGTTGTAATAAATATGGCGACAAAGATGATGACAATAGTCCGAATAATGTAAATAATGTACATTACCTCATCTCATGAAACATAGACAGATACTGAAAGGCCGAAACGTTGTAATAAATATGGCGATTTTCCTGAGGACAATAGTCCGAATAATGTAAATAATGTACATAATACCTCATCTCAGAAATATAGACAGATACTGAAAGGCCGAAATTCATAAAAATGGCAACAATCTTGAAGACAATAGTCCGAATAATGTAAATAGTGTATAATAATCCTCATCTTTGAAATAACAGATACTGAAGGCCGAAACGTTTTTAATAAATATGGCGACAAAGATGAAAAAAATATCCGAATAATGTAAATAATCCATAAAACCTCATCTCAGAAATAGAGACAAATACTTAAAAGGCCGAAACTTGTAATAAATATGGCGACAAATTAAAAGGACAATAGTCCGAATAATGTAAATAGTGTAAAATTTTTGATGACTCAGAAATATAGACAGATACTGAAAGGCCGAAACGTTGTAATAAATATGGTCTAAAGATGAACAATAGTCCGAATAATGTAAATAGTGACATTTAACTCATCTCAAATATAGACAGATACTGAAGGCCGAAACCTTGTAATAAATATGGCGACAAAAGATGAGGACAATAGTCCGAATAATGTAAATTTTTGTACATAATACCTCATCTCAAAATATATTTTCAGATACTGAAAGGCCGAAACGTTGTTTTAAATATGGCGAAAAGATTTACAATAGTCCGAATAATGTAAATATTTATATAATAATTTCATCTCAGAAATATAGAGACAGATACTGAAAGGCCGAAACCTTGTACCCTTATGGCGACAAAGATGAGGACAGTGATCCGAATAATGTAAATAGTGTATATAATACCTCAACTCAGAAATATAGATAATACTGAAAGGCCGAAACGTTGTAATAAATTTGGCGATAAAGATGAGGACAATCATCCTTTCATAATGAAATAGTGTACATAATACCTCATCTCAGAAATTTTTAGATACTGAAAGGCCGAAACGTTGTAATAAATATGGCGACAAAGATGAGGACAATAGTCCTTTTAATGTAAATAGTGTACATAATACCTCATCTCAGAAATATAGACATTACTGAAAGGCCAAAACGTAACAATAAATATGGCGATAAAGATGAATTTTAAATAGTCCGAATAAAGTAAATAGTTAATAATACCTTTCTCAGAAATATAGACAGATACTGAAAGGCTTTTTTTCACCTTGTGATAAATATGGCGAAAAAAAGAAAGGACAATAGTCCGAATAATGTTCATAAAAAAATCTAATACCTCATCTCAAATATAGACAGATACTGAAAACCCGAAACGTTGTAATAAATATCACGACAAATATCGATGAGGACAATAGTCCAATAATTTCCCAAATTTATTACCTTTTCTCAGAAATAACAGAACCTGATAAGGCAAACGTTGTAATATAAATGAGGACAATAGTCCGAATAATGTAAATAGTGTAAATATATTTCTTCAAATATAAACAGATACTGAAAGGCCGAAATTTTGGATAAATATGGCGACAAAGATGAGGACAATAGTCCGAATAATGTAAATAGTGTACATAATACCTCATCTCAGAAATATAGATAGATACTGAAAGGCCAAAACGTTGTAATAAATATGGCGACAAAGATGAGGACAATTCCCCGAATAATGTAAATAGTGTACATAATACCTCATCTCAGAAATATAGACAGATACTGAAAGGCCGAAACGTAGTAATAAATATGGCGACAAAGATGAGGACAATAGTCCGAATAATGTAAATAGTGTACATAATACCACATCTCATGAAATATAGATAGATACTGAAAGGCCGAAACGTTGTAATAAATATGGCGACAAAGATGAGGACAATAGTCCGAATAATGTAAATAGTGTACATAATACCTCATCTCAGAAATATAGACAGATACTGAAAGGCCGAAACGTTGTAATAAATATGGAGACAAAGTTGAGGACAATAGTCCGAATAATGTAAATAGTGTACATAATACCTCATCTCAGAAATATAGACAGATACTGAAAGGCCGAAACGTTGTAATAAATATGGAGACAAAGTTGAGGACAATAGTCCGAATAATGTAAATAGTGTACATAATAACTCCATAATACTTCATCTCAGAAATATAGACAGATATTACATTTTTTATTAAATAAGTATTTGTTATTTTAATCATTAAATTGATTTTTTAAACAGTGGATGTATTTTGTATGTTATAAAAGAAAATATTTAATTTTTCCAAAACATAAATGAAAATTTATTGTACTAAATTACGCACCAGTGTAAAACCAATTGTAATTTGTACCCTCTTACTTTTTAGCACTTCTCCCCAAAATTTGGTTTCGATTGGTCAATTTATAGCTATTTTAGTGGGAGTGTCAAGGGACGAACAGGCGGAAGTCATAGAATTTTGTATAGAGAGTGTATTCTCATCTGAAATTGTTTTCTAGGAGTGAACACTTACGGCGACATCACGCTAAAATGTCGGTTCCTATACAGACCCCGGATTTAAGAAAAGTCGATCCTGGTCAGTAACTAGATGAGTGACTGCTTAGATTTTCTTTGCGACATAGCAACACCTGTATGGGTTATTTAATGCCGGAATCTGAACATTTTGGACGCAATTTTATGACTTCAGCTAAATATATTTTGAACGCAATTGTATGCTTTCGACTACAGATAAAATGTATTGTTGTCTGATTTTGTTTAGCGACATAGCAACACTTCTATGGATTACTTAATGCCGGAATCTGACCATTTTAGGCACAATTGTATTCGACTACACATAAAATGTATTTTTGTATTCTCTATCTATAAAAGGCAGGATGTGTGTGTGTGTGTGTGTGTGTGTGTGTGTGTGTGTGTGTGTGTGTGTGTGTGTGTGTGTGTGTGTGTGTGAATGCACGGCCACAATTTTCGACGGACTTGTACCAAAATTTACATGCACATGCTCCAAGTTAGCGGAAACGCCAAGACCGACTTTGCATTTCCCAACTCCCATCGATAGTGGAAATAATCATTTTTTCATGCTTCTACGACAGTTTTTATGTAGTTTGCGGCCATTTTCTACAGGCCAGAGTGAGAGCCTATAGCTGGCTGCCACGAATAGGCAGGAAGATTCTATTGGCCACCGTGAGAGCCAACGAATGTTAACTAGCATGCAAGCATGCAAAAAAAAAAAATCGATAGCTGCATTCGTCACAAGTGAGAAAAATTTAAATCTGCATGGCACTTTACTCCAATTGGCTCATTCGCTTGCTTAAACTCAACGTTGATTCTGATTCCGCAGAACTGGGTTGGGTGTGAAAAAGTATTTGTTGTTAACATTCTTTTTTCATTCGGTTTTTCAGTTACGAGTCCTTTTTTAAAGCTGATCGTTTTGTGTTCATTTTGTTTAGTTCTTTTTTCGTAACAGATTTAATGTTTAGTATAGAGCTTAGAAAAAATTCGCAGTGTGAGATAGGCAAGAAGTAAGGCATGTAGCAACATCAGCACGGCAAAGGGCACTCCTTTAAAGGCAAGGAAGGGCAAAAATATTTAAGTCAAGTGATAGCGATTGCTGTATGAGTCTAATGATTTTTGAATCAAGCACGGGCAACGCCGGGCCATGCTGCTAGTTTTAATATAAAATGCATTGGTCATTTTGCTATAAATATGTATTGCTGTCTTTTTTTTTTATATAAAAATATATTTCTATTATATTTTACTATAGAAATGTATTTTAATACTTTCATAGTGTTTTGTTTTTGTTTGGGGGGGGGTCAGTATTTGGCCATAGTTCCACTTGTCAGGGAGGACCTGGAGGCAATAGTAATTAAAAAATGTTTCCACGTTCTTCAAAACCTCCAGTCACCTGATCAGAGGCCGCGATGCCAGATGCAGTTTATCGTCACACCCAGGATTTGCTGGGAATGAGAAATCGTGCAATTTATCTTTGAGAAATGAATGAATTCCCCTCTTCGTCTCCCCATCTAGGAGTTAAATAGTATAAATGTACAAGAACAACATTATTATCTAAAAAAAGGGAAAAAAATAAAAAAAAATATTTGCTAGATTTCAATTACCTACAAAAGATAGATAGATACATATGAACAGACTGATATGGATAAATATTTAGATATATATGAACAGAGTGATAGATAGATTGATTGATAGATAGATAGATAGATATGAGATAGATAGATATAGATAGATAGATAGATAGATATAAAATTTTAATATAAATAGTAGATATGAATAGAAATGATAGATAATATATAGATAATGAAATAGATAGATGCACAAGATAGATAGATAGATCAGATAGATGGATAGATACGAATAATATTGATAGATAGAATAGATAGATAGATATATATAAATAAATTGATAGATACGAATAGATAGATAGATATAAATAGATAGATAGATAGATAGTTGAATATGATAATATTTAGTAAATAGATAGATGATAGATAGATAAATAAATAGATATGAATAATATTTGAACACAATATGAGATAGATAGATAGATAGATAATAATAAATTGACCTTTTAATAAGAAGTTTGTTTAAAAACATTCTAAAGCGGGTGGAAAGCGAGTGTTTTTATTTTCTTAAAAAAAACGAAAAAAAAAAACACGCCAAAAACTAAAAGAAATGAAGAGAAATGCGACCAAAAAATCAAAATGGCAGAGAAGGAAATGCAAGAATTGATTTAGATGACACACGAAATCCAGGAACACCCACGAACACTGACGGCTGAAACCCAAAACCAACTGAGATCAGGCGAGCCACATCAAGCAAAAGAAAGGACAATGAAGGTGATGGAGAAGAAGAAGAAGAAGAAGAAGAAGGATTAGAGAGAGGGGAAGATAAAAGGAAAGAAGAAGAAGAAGAGGGAAAAGAAGAAGAAGAAGAAGAAAAGAAGAAGAAGAAAACAGAGCAGAAGATGCAGCCGAACACGAGACATGAGACGAAGAAGTTGAAAAAGAAGGAGGAGGAAGAGGAAGTCAATGATTTAATTTATGATGAAGGAGGAGGAGGAGGAGGAGGAAGAGGAGGTCAATCATTTAATTAAGAAGAAGAAGGATGAGGAGGAGGATGAGGAGGAGGAAGAAGAGTAGGTCAATCATTTAAGAAGAAGGAGGAGAGGGAAGAGGAGGTCAATCATTTAAATAAGAATTATTCATCATAAAGAATTTAAGGAGGAGGAGGAGGATGAGGGTATAAGATGATTCAATCATTTAATTAAAGAAGAAGAAGAAGAAGAAAAGGAAAAGAAAAGGAAATATAAAAAATGAAAAGGAATAATAATAATAATAATAAAGAAGAAGAAAGAAGAAGAAGAAGAAGAAGAAAAAAAAGAAGAAAAAAGAAAAGAAGAAGAAGAAGAAAGAGAAATGAAAAAAGGTTATTTTCTTAAACACAAAGAAAAATCAATAAAAGAAGAAAAGGAATACGAGGCACAAAAAGAAAAGTAATATCAACAATAATAATATTCTTAAGAAGAAGAAGAAGAAAGAAAGAAAGAAAGAAAAAAAAAAGAAAAAAATTAATAAATTTAGAAAGAAATTTCTAATGATTAAAATGAAAGTAAAGGTGTAAAAAAGGTGAGAAAGCCTGAGCGTCTTTTCACGAAAAACATAGGCCCAACCATGTTATAGCCAATTTAAATAGGTCACAATTATTTGAGACGACAGAGGGGTCCTTTTTTTTTTATTTTACGCCGTCGCTACGTTTGATTGATTTGAAGAAGGGTGGCAGGGTGTTGGTGGTATCCTTCATAGGTTTTAATCCACAGTCTAACAATTTCTCTCTAAAATTTCTCTCTCTCAAATATAAACTCATTATCTCAATCTATCTATCTATCTATCTATCTATCTATCTATCTATCTTCGTGGACTGCTTTTTATCTATTCATCTATCTATCTATCTATCTATCTATCTAAACATTGAATCATCATCTATCTTCATCTATCTGTTCTATCTATCTATCTATCTATCTAAATCCTATTATTATATCTATTTATCTATCTATCTATCTATCTATCTTCTTTTGTTTTATCTATCTATCTATCTATCTATCTATCTATCTATCTATATCTATCTATATCTTTCTATCTTTTCATCTATCTATCTGTTGTTGTCTATCTATCTATCTATCTATCTATCTTATCTATCTATTATATCTATCTATCTTTTATGTGTCTAAATGCCTTTAATTTTTTCTTTTCAATCTATCTATCTATCTATTTATCTATCTATCTATATCTTATCTATCTATCTATCTATCTCAATTATTAAATTATATGTCAAGAACATTTTTGTAATCGAAATTATTCTTTAGATAGTTCTGATCAAACATTACCATTCATTCTTTCCATATGAAAATCCCCAGATGAAAATTTAAATGACGAACAGAAATTTCAAATCGGAATTTATGCATTTTTTTCTTCCTGATAAAATGACAAGAAAAATAATAAATTTAATTTTTTAGATTCTTTATTTTCTCCATTTAGTTTTGTGTTTATTGAAATGTTTGTTTAAACATCGGATTAATTGACAATGATTGGAATTTGATAAAATGGTAAATAATATTTTCATTAAAAAAAGTTCACATATTTCAATATATTATTAAATGTTTGTCAATTTATAAATAAAAAAAACTGTTTTTATTCTTTATTTCTTTATTATTTGAAAAATGATAAATATTGCATTGTATTAGTTTTAAAATATTGTATAATTAAGAAGAGAGAGAATTTGAGAGAGAGAAATTCATTTGTTCATATCTATCTTTTCATCTATCTATCTATCTATCTATCTATCTATCTATCTATCTATCTATCTCAAAATTATCTATCTAAACTATTTATATTTATATCTATCTATCTATCTATCTGATTATCATCTATAAGTTTTTGTATCTATGTCATTCGATTAAAATTTCTCTCTCTCTCTCTCTGCCTGTCTTTCTGTCTCTCTATATCTATCTATATAACTGAAATATTTCATTAATCTATTTCAATTATCTCTCTCTCTCTATTTATATATATATATATATATATATATATATATATAT